GACACTGGGAAAGCAAAAACTACAGCTAGCTGTTGACGTATGTTTATGATGATGTAGGTTTATGATGCTCATAAACCTGTGAGTGTAGTCTTCTTGGGCGGAAGATTGAACCTTTCCCCCTTTGCCCAGGTAGCAGTGCAAACAAATCAAGAAACACAGCATTGGTTCTAATGTTCTGACTGTTAAGCACAAGTTTCTTGCTAAGAGTTCTACAGTGTCTTTTGAAGGATGGTTTTCAAGTGATGGCTTTCATTAAGGCATTTTCTTAGGTGTGTCATTACAGTTTTTTCTTATTCCCCTGCACACTCTGTACCTCTTGCCCCACCCCATCATTCTTGTTAGTTTTCTTGTTTTTACCAGCTAGTTCCCTCTTCTGCTTTCATACCACATGTATTGAATCATCCTGCCTCCTTGAAGGTCTCTTCATTAGTCAGTGTGTCGTTTGCCCAAACATTAGCAACAAATCTATCATATGACCGTTGGATATATAAATTCCTGTAGAGCCAAAATATTCTATTTTCTACTATAAAGACACATCTTCATTCATGTTCATAGTTGCTTTATTCACAATACCTGGGATGTGGAAACAGCTTATATGCCCATAGGTTGATGAGAAGATCATGAAAATGTGGTACTTATATACAATGGAATTTTATTCAGCTATAAAAATATGAAATTACAAAATTTTTAGGTAAATGAATGGAGCAGGAAATAGTCATTCTAAGTGAGGTAACCCAGATTCAGAAAGATAACTGTCACATGTTGTCACTCATATGTATATCTTAGTGTCAACATTTTAGATTTCTGTGTTTAACTTGAACTACTTACAGAATTCAGAAAACTAGAAAAGTATCATTGGTGGGAGAGAGAAGGAAGATCTTAATGGGAGAGGAGATACTAAAACACAGGTAATATGGATTGGGGAACAGGAACAATGGCGGGATTAAGTGGGGAGAAGGATGAGAGGATAGGGTAGAGGAAGGATTGGGAGTAGGGCCAATTAATACCAAAGATTTTTTAAAAAAGTAGAATAAATATTTTATGAGCATATATTCATATAAAATATATTAATTGGAGTTACCCTACATAGAGTACTCCTCCCAGAAACAATAAGTTTACCAAATAAAAACCCAATACCAGGTAGGAGATTCCCACACTCAAGTTGTTAGTCAAGAGTGTCTGGGAGAACCCCCAAAACAGTAAAGGCTCCTGCCACTGCTCTGATAGCCCAACATAAATTTACAGTGAGACCCTGAAGCTGAAGACACCACATCCTTTGGTCACAAGGCATAGAGAAATCAAGTTGGTACTAAGCAGGAAGTTCCCCCTCTACTGGCTTGTGTTCATGGTACTAGAAAGGTGGTGGGTAGGCTGCTGGGATGGGGGGATTCACGAATAGTCTTATCCAGTTGTGAACCCTGTGAGCTATAATAATGACTCATAGATTGAATAGTGGCACAAATGTTATAGGTGTTACCAACTGCTTTCTAATTGGATTTAATGTCTGCTTGACAGGAGGAAACTTACACCTGATACTCCAAATATGACCAAGAACCCATGATTGGGGAGCTCATAGGTCCCAAGGGTGAACCTATTTGTGGTGGTTTGGAAGAAAATGTCCCCCAAAGGGAGTGGCACTATTAGGAGGTGTGGCCTTGTTGGAGGAAATGTGTCACTGCGGGGGCAGGCTTTATGGTCTCTTTTTCTCTAGCTTCCCTCAGTGTGACAGGCAGTCAACTTCCTGTTGCTTGCAATCCATAGCACTCTCAGCTCCAGCACCACATCTGCCTACATGCTATCATGTTCCCCTTCGTGATCATAATGGACTGAACCTCTGAAACTGTAAGTGAGCTACCCTCAATTAATTGTTTTCTTTGTAAGAGTTGCCATGGCCATGGTGTCTCCTCACAGCAATAGTAAACCCTAACTAAGACACTATTACTG